AAACCCGCGTTTTGTTACAATTTCACACAAAAATATTTATCTTTTCATGTGAATATGCACTTTACTACGCTATACTACTATAGTTAGGCTTTGTTTGCAACCACTTAAGAAAAGTGATTTTGGTTTTTTTAAGAAAAAAGCACTTATTTTACCAAACACTACCAACTTTTACTTTCTCGGCTTCCGTGTAGAATCTACTTTTTACTTTGTCTATTACACAAAAAGCACTTTTTTTACCAAACATTAACAACTTTTACTACTAATCACTTTTTATCAAAAAGTGCTTTTATTTAAGCACAAGTAATTGCAAACAAAGCCTTAGTGCATGCTAGTGCTGATGAGCTTATTCTGAGGCACAAAGGATTTAAGGGTCGTCACTTTTAACAATAACAATTCTTTTTAAAATAGCTCTATCTCCAATACTCCTTCTCTTTGTTATTAGTTTATTCTCCAAAAACATAAATTGTTATCCTTTTCGCAATCTTACTTCGAACTCCCTTCGTGCTTGTACATTATGGATATGATTCATTCTTAATTCATATGCCACAAGTTTAGTATTTAAGTTATGTAATCATTAATTTTGCAAAAAAAAAAGTTATGTAATCATTATTATACCCTAACGTACAGTGGTTAAAGGGATTTGCATCACATCTTTCTTGAATAACGTACACCGAAAAAACAACAGACTATATTGATGAGATCGCTATATTTCCAACTATCAAATCTATAAAAATAGAACTTGTTATCAAGTATAAAAATATTTATGACTCCCAGCACCATGAATTTCGTAGTCCTTTACATACAGTACAAGAAGGACTTCATTACAGTAATGAACAAACTATTTAGATAAATTAAAGCAATTGGAACATGAATCAAATAAAACATTGGGGTGGTTATACATTGTAATTAGCTTGTAGGAGGACAATCTTTCTTAAGTACTTCACAAGTTTCATGTTTATGGCAAACTTCTTCAACGTACGCTAATCGCTCAGAAGAAATAGGTCCGTCATATGGATAAAAAATGTACCGCGATAGCGTATCAGCAATACAAAAATGTATTTTAGCAGCAAGATCGTTTGCGGCTTCATCTGAGGTCTCCAGAGTTGACGGTGAATCTTTTGCGAAGGTTAACCAAGGCAAAAGAATAGCCAACACAAACATCAAAGTCATTTTCTTGTTATAAACCATAGTTTATTATTCGTATTTCCCTTCTCTTATTTTTTGCTTTTATGTTGTCGAGTTTCTTTCGTCATATATGGCCAATATGTATTTGAAGCTTTATATACAACATGTAATAACAGCTTTGATCATGTTTGTCTGAATGTATATTTCATATACGAGGTATACATTAATGTTGGCTATTAACTCATGTGTATTAATTAATATGTATGAATTAGGCCCATCTTTATTAATTATGTGTCATACATTCTTTAATTAAATTACTACATAAGGTTATAAATATTTGTTTAAATTTTATTTTCAAAGGTGAGGTACATTAATATGCATTTACTACGCGTTTAAGTAAAGTTTATTTACTATGTGAGGTATAGTACATTCTTTATAAACGCTAAATTACTATGCGTTTCAGCAAATTCACCAGTCAGGTACATCCACAAAATTGGAAAACACCAAAGCACTGAATAAGTAGTCAAACACGATTTAGTGCATGTAAAATCCAGTCAAAATCAGGTGAAAATGGACCCAATTTTGTTTTCGATTGTAGACCTATGTTCATCCCTTCATCACCTTTTACCAAGCCAAAGACTTAAGGTATGTTTACTTTGGGAGTTGGATGGAAGGGAAGGGTGAGGAGGGTTTATGAACCTTTTTTTGTTCCAGATTTTTTTTTGAAAGAATTAACTAAATTATGTTCCGGATTTTATATTATGGAAGGAGTGGTTTTGTATCCTTCACGTAATCCTCTAAAACCCTTCAAAGGCAGAATTTTTAGATTTTCCCAAATTGTAGTCCAAATTTAAAAGGTGTACGAAATGGATTTGTACCTGCTAATAGGAAGACAAGTATTTTGGACACGCAAAATACTGGAAGTGACTCTTTTTTCTGAGACGATTTTTTTAGTTGCGTTAGTACACGCAACTGAAAGTGATCGTCGTCCTCCTCTATCAAAACAAGAAGAGATTGGAAACTCCAAATTCAACAGGTTGATTTGCTTTAAATCAAAGTTCGTCACCACTGAAAATTTCTTGTGGTCAACTTGAAAACACAGCTCAAGATTTACAGAAAAACTCAAAAGAATAAAAGGCGGCATACTATGCGAACAAGGTCTCAATCCAGAGACTTCCCGTGGGACTGATAACTTTTTTTTAGTTTTCTCTGTTTTTCCTTCTGTACTACTTTTCCTTTTTTTTTCAAAGCTTTGTATTATTTTCCTTTTATCAATACAATTCCCCTTTTTATTAAAAATAAAAAAAGGAAGACGAGTATTTTTTTTTTGAAAAGAAGATATTTAATTATTATTAATCAAATCGTTGGCTAAAGCCGAAACAATGGTAGAAGGAGGAGAATCAACCCAATACTGTGAATCAGAGATAGAACAAGCCGCCCGTGCTAACAAATGAGCTGGCTTATTCGCTGATCGCCTCACATGACAAAATGAAATAAACGAAAATGAATTCGCTATGTCTCTAATGTTGTCTCTCAACAGTCCCACCAAAGAGCAGCTTGAGCCTTCATGGATTTCCGCAATTGCTCTAGCTGCATCGGATTCAATTTCCGTCGAATTGAAACCATGTTCCTTCAGCCAGCTCAGAAAGACGAGTATTTTGGTTATTATTTATTTATAAAGTTAATAAATTTACAATTCTTTGATTATACTCATGGTTAATAAACTTCACTGATGTGAGTTTTCTCGCATTTAAAATAGTTTCTAGTAAAGGGTAGAAGTACGAGTATCGTCTCCACAGGGACGGACAAAAGGAAAATAAGAATGAACTAAATTCAGCAATAAAAAAGAAATAAACTAAAATAAAATGCAATTGTGCGAGATTGATTGATAGATTGTGGGAAAATTATAAAGCAACTAAAGGATTAAAATAAATGTGTTCTCTCTAATTAATGATGAAGGGAACATGGATTGATTCCGAGTATTCAGATTTTTGGCTGACCAGGCTTAATCACATCAAAAATATATATTTAATTGAGCAACACTAATCGATACTAAGTTCTAACCGCTCTCGCGGCGTAGAGTACAATAATTTAGGGAACCAGGCTGATCTCTCATGCGACATGTATCTAAAAATTTTTCCAAAACGAGCGAACGTACGGCCTCTTAATCGTTACTAATCTCTTAGAGAACGATTAAGTGTGTGTGGAAGTGTCTTAGAATAAACTAGATCTCTCTTAATTTATTCTACAAGCAATTGTAATTCTAGTCGCGGTTCTAGGTTATAAGAGATATCAAGTAAATCATTTATACACAAATTAAATAAAGATTCACGCAATTTATAAACCATCAAGAACCGAGTCATACATCATGAATAACCCCGTCATCAATCCTAAATTGCTAATTAAAATTACTCACAATTCATAATTGAATCAACAATAGAATTGAGATGAAAAGAATTAATTATCATTAATTAAAAAGATAGAACTTACAAAGTATCCCTTAATCATAAAGAACAAGGCTTGAAAAGCTCTCAAAAGTCGAAATAGGGTTTATCTCTCTAAGCGCATCCCCCCAAAACGGACAAAACAGGGCCGCATTTATAGAAAAACACGATTTTTGCTGACATTGCAACCACATGGTCACCCGCACGGCGTGCGGGGCACCGTGCGGCCAAGCGAGATTTATTTTGGCGCTGAAAACTTACTCCGCCCGCATGGCGTGCCGAAAACCGCTCGGTACGACAGTGTCAACACTCCTGCGAGGTGTTCTGGACCGCGGGGCTAGCTCTCAAACATATCCCTGCGGTTGAAACCGCACGGATTATAATTAACATAATACTAAACCTTTAAATGATGGTTGTATTTTTTTATAATTGTGAAAAATACAACCAAGCCAATTTTTGGTAATATTTTTTTATAATTATTCTTGCACGACACCCAATTGATGTATTGTTTTTGAATATACAAGTCGTACTTTACGTAGATTAGATGACGAAAAATATCTTATACAGATGAAATACTTTTATCTTGTATAAAAATACATACCTGAAAAAGGTGCTAGTTCGCGATAAATTAATGCCAAAGCAACATACTAAAACATGGTTAAAGTTAGATATATAAAATGATATTATTAAATAAAGTTGTGTTGAAAGATGAAATAATAAACTTGAATCATACTACATACTTCATTTTGAACAGGATAGTATATTAAACCTGAATCATGTACCGATAAATTTACAACATATTATATTGTGTAGCATTCGACATGATCTTTTTATAGAACTGAAATCCTGGTCATTTTTATGAAATGAAAACGACTAGAATTGTAATGCAAAACGAGAAACGATGCCATGATGATTCATTCCAAATTCAAATTATGTCTTTTTTCAGAACGCCAAATATATGTGCTTAAAATTTTCGTAATGAGTTGAAAACTAGTCTTATAATCCATAAACGTCTATCGCGTGAAACCGACATTATATTGTTAATACATTTTTTATATTTAAAAAATCGGAATGGACTAGACAGGCTAGAATAGACCAACGAAACACCCGATCGAACCGATCCATTCCCACCATGCGATAGTTCCCTGCTTTAGAAAACTTTCCCATCCGCCATTGAAGTCATTGGAGTACATACCATTGGTGAATTTGGTGTACCGTGTACTTTAAATTTTCCCATTATTTGCACTTGCATTAAGACATTAACACGCTCTATGAAGTTCAAAATAAACCACTAAGCTATGTTATTTGACCATTTAGACTATTTTAGTTATCATTCAAAAGAAGTTAATTAAAGTACGTGCATCTCGTGAAACACCCAAATGGAAATGCTAATTCGAATAAATATAAAAAGAAATATTTGAACGAATTCTCTTAATTAAAGTACGCAGCTACTAATTAAGAGGTAATTGATGTCACATTCAAGCAGTCTTAATTTAGAGATCGATGACAATTGAAGAAAACGATAACAAAAAACCACTCAATGAGCTGTATCATTCCAGAATGGCTCATCATTTGGATCAACAATGTGGAACCTTCCCTCATCAAAAAACCACTCGACCAGGGCCTCCTCTAGTGTCTGGTAGGTACAAAAGAAACAATTAAAATTACCTTTGTGTTATGTACTTATAACAATAATTTTTATTTTTTTTATTTGTAGTGCTAGTCGTACTATTATTATTGTCATTATTGTAATTAATATAGTATTACTATTAATGTTGCTACGTAGTAATCCTAACATTTAGATTTCATATACTACCTCCGTCCTTTAAAACTTTGTCAAAATTGATCGATATATCTATTTCAAAGTCCATTATGTCAAACTTTGAGTGTTTTTTTTTTAGAAAACGATAACAAAAAACCACTCAAATTAGTATAACATTTTTTGGAACGGGCAGTTTCAAATGGCTGAATCACTTTTTTGGAATTTGGGTAATTGGTCATAGTTTTGGAATCTTCAAGTCATTAGTAATAAGTGGGCCATTATTTCTAGTATTTGCAATTCGTCAAAGAAAAAAAAGTAGTTTCATAGAGAAACGTACGGAATTGTCTATATGTTGTGTTAAATAAGCGTGTGCATGCATGAAGAACGAATCTTCAAATTTAGTCTATTTAAATATACTAATGATACGAAGCACCTTAACAAGCAACTTAAGATCTACAGGAAATCTCAAAAAAACAAAAGGCGTCACAGCATGAAGACTAGGTCACAATCCAGAGATTTCCCTTGGGAGCAGCTTGTTTTTTTTTTTTTTTTGTCTTTTTTTTTCCGTTCTTTTTCTTTTCTCTTTTTATGTATTTTTTTTCTTTATTTTCCTTTTCGCATTGTACTATTTCCTTTTATCAATAAAATCCTCTAAAAAAAAAAATGATACGAACATAGTTTTACATTTTTTTATATTTTCATTGAACTTGATTAATGTATATCAATGGACTTTTAAAATAAATTACCTGCAGTTGTAATACCAATAGGTATATACTCGTATGTAATTAGTTAATGTTCGGATCAGGTGGTGGGGTGGCAATGGATTTTTCTCCAATCATAAAAAAACTTTAATTTTGGTAATTTTAGAACCGGTACTTTTATTTGTGAATTTTGGCCCTCTTTAAATCCTAGCTATTCAGACAATTCACTCAATAAAAAACTATGAGATATTATCCAAAATAGGACTAAAAAAGTTTGGAAATTCCAAAATAGGAATTCCATGTTTTTATTCCCAAAATAGGACTAATTACTGTCATGTTTTGGCAGTACCAGACTTCAAACATGGCAGTATTTTCCAAATTTGACAGTAATTAGTCCTATTTTGGGAATAAAAACATGACATTCCTATTTTGGAACTTTCAAACTTTTTTAGTCCCATTTCGGGAACTTTCCCATAAACTATCTACGCCTCACTAATTTTACCACTAATGTGATTTTAATTGAATCTATCTAACTTTTTTATGCTTTACAAATTCAACAGAAAATACGGTCTTATTCTTCTTTTAAAATATCCAATTTCATCATGTCACAGTAGAGTTAGCGAATAAGTACAAGAATGAAATAGTTAATGAGCTAGGTTTAGAGACAATAGAAAAAAATTAATATAAAAAAGGTAAACAGAAATATATGACGTAATAAACCACAAAAAAAAACCCTTGAAAAGAATATGAATACATCGTATTAATAAATATGAAGTAATAAAGATGGAGGAAATACCTTTGACTTTGGGTCTTCGGGAAACATGGGTTTCTTCAACCCTTTCTGACCGAAGGAATGGCCAAACTGTGAAGTGACCACAAACCCATTAGTGGCCGCTGGGGTAGGCAATGCATTTATCAGTTGTTGCCTAAAATCTACAAAAACGTACTTTTCGTTAATAAACAGCATATGCTTATAAGAGTATAAAATTTTATTATTTTTACTTAAATATAAATGTTAAAATTATACTACGTACAATATACTCCGTATATGTTTAATTATTGTGTACTATTTCTTTCCTATAATTTAGTAATCACTTTCTTGGTCAAAATGTAACATGTTAAAACTTCTAAGACTTTACATATAAATGATATAATTGTATGAGGAATTATGTATTATGATCTCTCCATCTCATTTTAGTTAGTTACTCCCTCTGTCCCATTTTATAAGATACCTTTACTATTCACTTGGTCAACACAAATCACTCTTAATCTCTTACTTTATACATCAAAATTTTATGAAATTTGAATTATTTTTTGCAGCTTTTGTAGCGGGTTTAATGTAGTTTCTGAATATGTAATTTTTTTTATATAAAAGTAATTTGAGTGCAGACAGACATCCGTTTGCTTTATCGTCGGTCGAACATCGTAAACCGAAAAATATCTTATAATTCGGGACGGAGGGAGTATTTTTTACATTTTCAGTCAAAGATTCTTTGCTTTGGCCGATAACGTATTTATATACAAAAGTATTTAAACTATGAAAATGCTATCATAATGGTATAAAATTTATTAATATCGCTAAAATATAAATGTTAAAAAGGGTAACCAAAGTTTATCACCAATGACTAGAGCAGATATAGAAAAATTAATAATGACTAACTAAAATGGGATGGGCTAGTATGAAAGTGATGTGGATATAGTAGTATGTTATTTACTACGGTGTAATATACTTCCATGCATAAAATACTACATCATGTAACTTTCGAATTTAGTCTAAAATGGTAAACATCCATACAAAAGTCATCATTCACGAATATAGTCTAAAATGGTAAACTTTTAAGGGACGTATATAATTAAGTACTGTATGCACAGTTGAGCACATTTTAAACAAACTCAAGATTATAAAACGTATAAACGCCAAACAAACTCCAAATAAGGCTAGACTCCAAATAATATATTGAGAACAATTTCTAAAATAATAACGTATAGTATACGAAAATGAGTTTGATATACTCCGTACTATATATTACACCCTAATTTATGATTTTATATTTAACCGATATGACGCTTTTAAGTTGAAGAATATTAACTATTTCGGTGTCAAAGCTTAAAGTGTGTGTAGCATTTCCAAATCTTGTAATAAACTAATAATAAATTACTTAAAAGAAGGATTAATTATAGAAGGAAAATGTAAAGAATACATGGATTAATTATGGATGCATTATATATAATTCACTTGGATTAAAAATAATAACATGTACAAATTACATATGACAGTACAAAAATACATTGTAAATGTTTGGAGTAATTTTTAAAGAGTACATAATTGAAAATAAAAACTTACCTTTCAGCAATTTCATTTCACTTGGAGTCTCCGTATGATTCTTTATCCGATCGTGTAAGCTAGCTTTCAGAGAAGGCAGTCCGTATCTATGGGAAAAAATCGTGATTAAAATTATTTAGTTTTTTGGTAATCTTCAATGATAAATAGTTACACATAACTGAGAATAAAACCCTGTCGCAAAATTAAATAAATTACTATAAAACATAACAACAATAACAATAACAATAATAATAATAATAATAATCCAAGCAATCATAATAATACTAGGTAAATAATACTGTGCACGTTGCGAACCTGATATGCATCAAAGGCCGAATTCAAAAAGTAAATTGGGGATTTTATGTACTTCACCAAGTGTTTTGGAAAGAAGCACTGCACATCAGAGTTAGTATAATTGCATACTTAATCATATAATTCTTCAAATTAATGGAATTCAACTTTGAAGTAAAGAATATATATAATTTGATGTACCGATAATGCACTTCGATTGGATATGCACTCGGCCGGTAGTGCCTTGGCGCTTTGCTGCAACCCATGTAATATTCCAGATTAAAGCTACTTTCATGTGGGAATTTAGTTTTTTATAGAAAATGTGGGAATTTAGTTAATTACCTGCAATTCAACAACTATGCCAAAAACAGTCTTCATGAACTGGGCATGCTTGGGATCCCTCCTGCAAATACAAAACCATAAACATAATTAATTAAGTTAATTCACTTAATATATATACAAAAAAAATGAAAAAATACGTTTCTAAACACTTTAGATTGACGTATTTATATCATCTTACAGTTTTAGAAAAAAAGAACTATCAATGTAGCACTTGACGTTCACAGTGGGATGGAATTGGCTGCGAAAATGATCGCAATGAATCATCGCACCTATTCCCCCGCAGAACCTCCAGCAAGGATCACCTGTTGCAAAATTAAAATTTATATATGCATGTGAAAATATTATTAAATCAGGACTGTAATTATCAAATTCAATTAATTATAAATTAATTAATAAAAAAAGTCAAAGTTGAGAAATTTACTTCCCGGGCATCTTGCATGCCTTTCGCCATTAACTCAGTAATGACAGCTTTATATATTCTTGCCCCTCGGTAGAAGAGCTTAGTTTCCTAATGAAAAAAGTGAATCTAATTTAAATAATTGCAATATAATTCTATATAATTCAAGGAAACAAATAGAATACACACCGGGTCGGGTTGGTCGACAACACCGGAGAATGACCCCCCGTCGCAATATCTTACGATGACCCGGTTCCAATTATAGAAGTAAGTTTGGTTTTCTTCATCACTAAATATCCCCGTAAACGGGAAATCACCCATGTGGAAGGAAGATCGGATGGCCAATGTGGCGCGGTTAGTGCAGCTGTCGGCGTACGCCTCCGTGTGATTCTCGTATACGGTGCTGTTTATACACCATCCTCCTCCCTAATTTAGAAAAAAACTCAAATCAAACTTGCTCAGATCAGAAAACTGTATATAGTCTTTAACTCAGTTTACTTAGATAGCGTTGACTTAAATGAAACAGTCCGTATAACTATATGTTGATTGGCAAACATCAACAGATCTTGCAATTTAATTTATACTGCGTAAAAAGTGGAACTTCTCCTACCACGCATTACATGCATTATTTCAAATAGTCGTCTCACATATCTATTCAAAACAGAATAAGTTAAACGAAGCGAATTATATTTCATTTATTCCACTAGCTGTTCTAACACCGTATGTAATTTGGTGGAAAGCTTATTAAGTGGGCAAGGGAATGCAATGAATTGCAAAACAAATACTGGTGCTTATTTCATAATTGTATCGGGAGCATGCTATTTATACGTCGAAAAATGATTACTACTAGTCTCTATACTAGGTTGCAAAGGGTATTGACTAGGTCTTGACGTATTGCCGTGTTGAATAAGCCTAGGTAGTCTTACCTCCGTTCTTAAATAAATGCAACATACGAAGTTTTACACTATTCACATGTTCTACTTTGACTACGTTTTATTTATTAATGTATTAATATTATTTTATGAAAAAAATATTTCTAAATTTGTCTCATTGTAAATTTTCAAAATCTATTTTTTTAATTTTTTTTACTATTACAAAATTATATATTTATGGTCAAAGTTGTGTCTCGAAGAGTGTGAAATGTTGACCGTTGCGCTTTACGGATGAAATATTAGTGAATGTAATACCTATCCTATACTGATTAAGTAATTTAAAAGTTGTGATAATTCCACTTAAAAAGTCTCACAAAATGAAATGTAAAGTCTGTTTTGTCCCAAATAAAGCAAAAAAGCTTTACTAGTTACAATAAATGCAACCACAGCGGTGTCTCTACCACAAGTGTGACTTTTTTTCTATACTTGACCTTTTTTAATACGAAGCATTTGTTACTTTGCTCTTTGCTTTGTCCCAAAATAAATATTACATTTAATTTTTTTTAAAAATGTTTGTAGTCATTAATTATTCTCAAATCTTAATGATAAATTTTACATTTTCAACCACTTTATTAATAATTGTATAAAGTAGTACACATAAAATGATAAACGTAGCACTTTGTGTAACTATGTACATATGTTCCTTATAAAAATATAAGAGTATCAAATCTCTCTATGTTATAACTGATGGTGCTTCAAATCCCTTCAAGAACAAAATTAAATACCAAATAAAAGACAAACTATCAGTATTTTGTACTACGTACAATTTAGAGATTTTGATAAACTTTCATATATATATATATATATATATATATATATATATATATATATATATATATATATATGTATTCAATTACATATAATATTAAGATATATAAGTGATTCCAAATTTGTTGCATTTTTTAATCATAAAGGATTAATGTGCCTAATTTGTACTTCGTATAACACGAGTTCCTTTGTGCATTAAACTCTTTGTTGTTGTGACTATCATTTTAGTAATTAAAATTAAATATGATACTCTCTCTGTTCTTTTGTTAACTATAAATATATGGAAGTAATTATAATATGAAAGTGATATGAAAATATTCCTTGTATAAATTTATAAGTTTTGCAAAAATATGCATAGTATTAATTAAAATGATTGACCAAAATTTGAAATTATTTTCCATCACTTGCAATGGAGCCAAAGATTTATTATTTTTTGGTTTGAGAATATGATGGAATAAAGCAAAATGATTCATTAAACTGTCTACACTTCTTTGTTATGAAACAGCAGTTAGTCCATGTAATTTTGGACGCGATTTTCACCATGGGTCATCCGAAAACAGTCTCTATGTGCTTTAGTACAGGGGTAAGACTCCGTACATCCGACCCTCCTTACCCCACCGTAGGTGGGAGCTTTTGCGGCACTGGGGTAAACGAAAATGAAATGAAAATGACCAAAATATAAAATTATTGATTAGAAAAGTAAAAATGACTAACTAAAAAGATTTTGAAAAGACCAATTCCTACCTAGCTAAGACTACGTAAGAAATTATGAAAGGGGAGGTGATGGGCTGCCAGGAATGTAACTAAATAATGGAGCTTGGGTTACCACTAATATAATGTTCGGTGTACTTAAAATACCTAGTACGGAGTATATGCTAAAGTAATTTGGAACAATGAATTCAACTTTTTAACCACTAAAACCAACATATATGCGACGCAAAAAATAAAAACACCATGTTTTATTTTAAAATACAGAAAAGTAAACATAATGATCATTAAAAAAAGTACATGAATTAGCGCATTAGGAACTTGATAAGGAAGAGTTGATTATAATTTTTACTTTCCACAAAGTTTTGGTAAAATGGTAAGTAATTAAAAGAACTCACTCCCAGGTGAACCAGCCAATTGCGGGCACCAGAACCGCTGCCTGCATCCCAATGGTAAGCGGGTGGGCTTCCGTCCAAACACACTATAATCATGACCATTATAAATATTAGATATAAGAGTATGCATATATGGAATTATTATGTAGTACGAAGAAGTGTTTATATATGTTGTTGCTTAGTTATGCATAAATTATGTGTTGGGGATCGATTCCGTCGCCGTATTCCGGCTCAGGCAGTCCGGAGCTCGGTTTCCGATTGTCTCTTGTGCACTCCTAAGCTAAGGGAGCAACTTCCCTAGATAGCCATGCCTACACTCACCCTCTAACCTCACAAAGAAGAAGAAGGAAACACTCACAAAGAGATGCACACTCGGCCAGGAAGAAGAGTGGTTCAACAAATGAGACTCTAGCTTGAATTACTAAGGAGCAAACTGCTCGTATGTATACAAAGGGAACTTTTGGCATATTAGCCCATGAAATGGACGGACAGACAATAATACATGGCAACAGCTCAAGCAAGTTGGACTATTCCAACACAACCACACAAACAAATATCTCACAACTAACTTAATAATGCCACTCAATCAGGATTCAAACGAGAGAACTGAATAGGCTTAAATTAGTCTGGTGTAGAGAATAGAAAGTGTAGCGGGCTGCTAAATAGGGTGTCAACTATTATTAATATACAAAGACCAATTGGGCCAATAATATATTAACAATCTCCACCTTTGGCCCAAGGTAGTGCACTTAGACAATCACGGAACCGCGGACTCATCATTGCCGGATCATTACAAGTATAATCACAAAGACAATACAAGTAATAGAGAGACACAAGTACTCTCGGGGTAAAATCACCAAGCTTACCGAGTCCATAAAGGACTTAACTCTACCATAAGGTCCTCGAGTTCAAAACCGAAACCATCACAATGCTATTAACAAACACAAGGTATGTTAATAGCCCACGCAAGCAAGCATCCGGGAGAAGTTGGGGATCCCAACTAATCCAACAACCACACAAAGCAAGTACACAGAAAATAAAAGAAACAATAGTATTTCTATAACTAGCACAGGCGGAGCTCACATAATCACATGGTATCACATTTTCAAAACACAAAGAAAATAGCATACCAAATATCACAAAGATTTTAATTAATAGAGAATTAAGCACATGTAAAGCAAACTCAGAGGAAATATAGTCAAACACATTGCACATATTATTTCTCTCATGCTTCCTAATGTCTCTATCTCTAATAGCATGGCAATCACACAACTCAAGCATATTGCACACAACATTCATATCATGCTCCACCTTAATAGAAATATTATTTTCTTTATTTTCACCATGAAAAACATTTTCATCCACAAATTTGGGTTCGGTTTCAACAAGTAAATCAGAATGAACATCAGGCAAATGCTCCACCTCATTTGGAGCAACATCAGGAGAAACAAGCAGGCAAGGAAATTCATTTTCAACAAAAATGACATTTCTACTCATCAACACATTGAAGCAAGTTTCACTCCTACACCAAAGCTTATAACCTTTCATGCAATCATGATATCCTAAGAAAACATATTCCTTAGTCCTAGGTTCAGATTTATCATTCACACGATTCACATAAGCAGCACAACCAAACATTCTCAAATTTGGCAAGTCAAGCGGTTTGCCCATTAACACAGATTCAGGGCATTTTCCTCCTAAGAGAACAGACGGGGACAGATTAACCAAATCAACAGCATAACAAATAGCTTCCCCCCAGAACTTATTAGAGAGCCCAGATGAAGCTAACATAGCCCTCACCCTCTCTAATAAAGTTCTAACCATCCTCTCAGCAACCCCATCCGGTTGGGGTGTGGAGGGAAAAGATTTATGCATAGAAATACCCCAAGTATCACATAAATCACCAAGCTGACTATCACAGAAATCAAAATTGACAGTGGTCCTTAAAAAATTAATTTTCTTACCGGTTTGTTTTTCAACAAGGGTTTTCCAGTTTTTAAACTTATCAAAAACTTCAGATTTATTCTCAATCAACAAAACCCACACTTTCTTTGAAAAATCATCAATCAACGTCAGAAAATAATTTTTCCCACCATGAGTGGAAACACTATAAGGACCCCACAAGTCAGCATGAATACAATCAAGCACATTAGTACACTTAGGCAGATCAGGAAAACCAACTCTAGACTGTTTTCCTAGCACACAGGGTTGCACATAAATCACAGAATCAAGTACGGGTTCAGCATGACAAACATACAAGTTGTTCTTCATCTCAGCTTTGAAAACAACACAAGCGAATTTTTCAGGATTTTCATACAACCATTCCCCCATTTTCCCTGTAACCCACTACTCTCCAAAGCAGCAACAGATAACAAGTTATGACACAAATCAGGGACATGCCTCACATTCTTAATGGTAAACACAGAGCCACAAGAAAACTTCAGACATATATCACCAACACCAAGCACATTGCATCTCTTATTATCAGCTAAGGAAACATAGCCACTATCACATAATTCATAAGTAGAAAACAAATCTCTAAAGGGGGACATGTGATAGGTACAACCAGAGTCAATCAACCATTCATGCTCAGACAGGGAATTTCTCACAGAATTAACATGGTCACAAACCATCAAAATATCACCAAGGTCACATTTATCAACAGCTACACTAGCATGCTCGGTCTTCTTAGGGTGGGGGCAATCCTTAATGAAATGGCCAGCGTTACCACAATTGTAACACACTCTCTTCCTAGATTTACTCCTCTTCCTCCCAGACTGACTAGTGTTCTTACCCTGACTATTTTGCTTAGGATTCTTAGACCTACCCTTAGATCTACCTCTCACAAACATAGCCTCACCGGAGTCCCTGGACTGACTAGCACTACCCCTAGCATGCTTCAGGTCTAATTCCTTACTCCTTAACCCATTCACAACAATGTCTAACGAAATCTCATCCCTACCATACTTAATAGCGGACTTAACATCATTATAAGAGTCGGGAATGGCATTAAGTAATACTATGGGAGTATAATCATCTATGTGTTTATCACCTGCCTGTTTGATATTCTGTATCAGTTTATTAAACACATCCAGGTTCTCATCTATATCTTTAGTCAGGTCAAGCCTAAACCTAAAGAATTTCTCTAGTAAGAACAACTTCCCGGGCAAAGAAGTATCAGTATAGAGACTATCCAATTTCTCCCACAACTCCTTAGCGGACTCAAGAATACCCACTTTCCTAAGCACAGAATCAGACAGATTCAAGTAAATAGTAGAACAAGCAGTTTCGTTCATTTCTGTTTGCTTAGCCTTATCTTCTGATTCAAGGAAAATACCAGTGACAGCTCTGAAAACTTTTTGCTGTATTAAAACACACTTAATTTTCTGTTTCCAAATATCAAAATCTGTTTTTCCATTAAATGGAAGCATACCATACTGATTTGCAGCCATGGTATCAACCAAAAAAGGAACACAAAGCTAAACAGACTGAAGTGACAGAAAAATAATCCAACCCGGGCTATAAAGTATTCACTTTAATAACCCCGGGCAGCATGCAACACATAGCAAAAAATGGACATTTTGGCAATTAAACAATTCCGGGCAGAAAAATTAAATTTAATTAATTCTACCCCTACCACCCAATAAAACACCGCTACGCATAACAATTAAATTAAATAACACTTAGCAAATTTAATTAATCAATTAAAATGATGCACATTTTAATCAAGTATTTTACCGGCTCCATCGGCCACAGCACTCTTGATCAAAGTTATGGTAACGTTCTTATCGGCCTTTGATGGGCCAACCATCAAGACAGCACAAAGGATTAAGCACCACAGCATTTTTGTTGGGGTCTCCATTTAAGCTGCAAGAGTCAAAGTAAACCGCAGTAAATATAATACCTCCAAGTGGCCGGGAGTATATATATTCTTTATGAAAAACGTAACACTACTATATATACGTTCATAGTAAATGTATTGTTTTAAAGTAGCATAACAAAACAAAACAAAATAATACTGTATGTAATTAATACTAGGTAATAATATTGTAATTGTGATACTGGGTAATAATAATACTGTAATACGGAGTAAAAAATTATTAAAAGGAAAAGATATCATTATTGAGGACTGCTTGCAAGAAAAAACTAACTCAAAAATAAGATGAAAAATTGTAGAGCTAATTCAGGAGTCAGGACGGCCGCAATCAAAAACAAAAGATCAGAGAGTTGAAGATCGAGCTGAGAAAGCTAATTTGCGTGAAGGGCGGAAGACTTGAATGAATTGTGATGAAGAATGAAATTTGCTGGCCGTTGCTTGGGTTTTTATATCGGAGGTGGACGTGATGGATGAGTGTTGCTTCACTACTTAACAGCTGAGAGACTCATCTTTACTTCAAAACCGGCTCCTCTAGGGATGGAGGTAGGCCATCGCTGTCTCATCTCATTATTTCATTCACTTTAATTTACTACGTACTACTTCCCTCTCGTATTGTAAAGACCGTTTGGCTTATCGACCAATTTCAGGCAACTTTTACTTTCACGTGCTGAATTTTGAATAAACAGAAAACGTTATTTTAGATGATCATTTTAGGTATTTTTACATATATTTTTTTCTTTATTTTATTAATACAATATGTTTTAAAACTAATTTTTTCTTAAATCAGCAGAACCAGCCACTGCAGCCTCTTTAACAAGAACTTCATAAATTTCAGCAGAAACTGCCAAAACAACTGATTTTTATGCTACCAAACGGGCTCGTAAAATAGTCATTATCTTACACTTCTAGAGCCCGCTTTTTTAGGCTTATCAGGCTTTTCAGCCAGTTTTTTCACCAAACACGTTACTTTTGATTTCGCGCACTGGATTGTGTAATAAGCAGAAAAAGTAAGGTTGGAGTTACTTTTCTGACTGTATTGACTGAAGTTACTGTAGAAGATCATTTTAGATAATTTTTCATATGATTTTTTGTTTTATTTATTAATAAAAAATATTTAAATATTTTTTTCATGAATCAGCAGAATCAACCACTTTAGCCAGAACTTCATAAATTTCAGCAAAATCAGCCAATTCAGCCAATTCCAGTGTTACCAAACGGCCTCCTAATTTCCAAAAAGCAATAGAAAGTCCAATTTATTAGGAAAATAATGTTTCTTCCTTCCAATTTGATGATCATCTTTCTTTCGTATTCATTTAGTCAACACAAATCACTGTAAATCTTTTACTATATTCATCAAGCTTTTATCAAAACTTTTGCAACTTTGTAAAAACTTTTAACATAATTTTTGAATATGTAAATTTTATTTACTAAAAATAATCTGAGTGTGGACAAGAATTTGTTGGCTTTATCTCGGTTATATCTCCTAAATCGCAATTATATTGAAACATCAAATTGGTACCGAGGAAGTAATATTTTTTTGGACAAGTTAAAGAAGAAAGTGTAATGAGAGGGGGAGTATCTGCTCCATAGTACTTCTGTTCGTAAATTATCTATAGTCAATGCTTGTCATGTGACCAGCTGGATTTGTGATATACCATAGATATAGGATACCTTATGGGCACCGACTTCCTCCATTGGTGAAAGTTCAATTAATAGAGATGGGAAGAGGTAAAGTGTGTAAGACAAAATCGAAAGTCTTAGCACAAAAAGGAACAAATAAAAATAGAAGCGTTGAAAAGGGCTCTCAACGGCCTACAACCCCAAGTTCCTCAATCCCAATAACACCCTCCCCATCCATCACTATCATAATATCCCAATGACCTTATAGCTAGCAATAGCCTATAGGTACCGGGTTACTGTAAAAATTTAGTGTAAAAAACCATTCAAAGAAAATCATTGTGATACACAATTGTGGAGGTAGCTTAGGGGTGGTGCTGGGCTCGGTTCGGCACACCATATTTCAAAAAATAAAAAAATATTAATATTATAACAAATTTACTGTACGTAAAAAACCATTCTGAGAAAATCTTTGTATGTACCACTGTACCAGTTCAATATTGTTGAGATTAGTAATCCTAATTCTCTAATTATGTCGTAGTTTACAGTTTAGATAGGATGGCAAGGCAATTAATCTAAGTATTATGTAATTGGGTTGGGCCTAGAGTTTTAATGTTCTCCTTCTTATTCTTTGACTTGAGTTATTTCCTGACTGGGCCTTCGCTACTTCTGTGTCCCGGCACTCTTTATACTTGGGTGATCCTAAGTATATTAGGGACTTCCGTCTATTGAAGGGAATAGATTACTGAGCAAAACATTGAAACCCTAGACAGAGAAAGAGAGGCTGAGCACTTTGAGTTCTAGAGTGAGAACGAATTGATCCGCTGCCGGTTTTCTGCGCGAGAGCCTGATCTTGACAAGGACTGTTAAAGGAAGAGGAGTATTCCTGGGAATCTAAGGAAGCAGAAGAAAGCTTGATCCAGTTGTCTTCTGAAACCTTAAGGTTTTCATTCGGTTTAACTCTGAACTCTTTCTTTTATTTGTTTCTTGTGTGATTTATCTGACCGATTGCATGTACTGTATTTTGATTGCCTTGCAACCATCTTGATTGTGAACTATTGTATATCTGAGCTAGTGGAATCTTGGGACCGGGTTTCCCCTGTTGAAACCCCGCAGATTAGGAAGGTTTTCTTCCGAACTGCGTCAACATATCGTGTGTCTTTTACTTTTCTTACTGCTTCGTTTGTATGTGCTAAGTTTGAATCCGATCTAATTTGACTGTGACTTCGTTAAGTCTGCGAACAAATTGGTATCAGAGCTTGGTGTGTTCTTGAAACCCTAATTACAATCTTATGATTAAATCTTGGATTTCTTGAAACCCTAGTTCTTGGTCTGTTTTATATCTGAATCATTATTCTCTGGCTTGATATTGACTGCAGTACTTGTGTTCGTTGTCAGTGCCTCTCATCTTTGTCTGATTAAATTGTCTGTTCTTGTTAATCTGTTTGTTCTTGAGTAACACTTTGGGAAAAATGTCTGAATCTGGTGTCAAAGTCCGAATGTTTGATGGCACCAGTGATTTCCCAATGTGGCAACTTAAGATGAAAGCTCTGTTGATGAAGCAGAAATGCTTCTCTGCTATTACTCATAACCCTATACCTGGTCTATCTGCGCCTGATCAACTTGAATTAAAAGATGCTGCTTATTCTGAGTTGATTATACACTTGTCTGATAATGTGGCTAGAAAGTTTGCTAGTATTACTGAGCCTAAGATTCTGTGGGAAACTCTTGAATCAACCTATATGAAGAAAACTATGTCTAGAAAGATATCCTTATTATGTAGGTTGTTTAACTTCAAAATGAATGTGTCAGTTTCTTTGCAAGAGAATTTAGACAATTTTCTTAAGATGACACAGGAAATTGAGAAAGTGGATGAAAAAATCAAGGACACCCATCAAGCTGTGATTCTCTTAAATGCCTTGCCCTCCCAGTTTGACAATTTAAGGATGTAATTCAATATTCCAATGAAGAACTGACACCTAGCAAGATACTAGATTCCATTACGGAAAAGAATGATAGCCTTAAGGTGTTTAAGTCCAAGTCTGACTCAACCTTTAGTGAAAGAACTGAGACTAAGACTGAGGCCTTAGTGGTGAAGGGCAAACCTAAGAATAAGAAGAAAGGTCCTAAGAAGAAGAAACAAACTGAGAAAGATAATTCTGAGAAGAAGGGCTTTAAATGTCATTACTGTGGTATAGAGGGGCATTTTGCTAGGGATTGTAGGAAGAAAAAGAGAGATAGACAAGGTGATAACCCAAATCCTAATCCTACCTCTAACACAGAATCTGCTAATGTCTTTCAACATGAATTGCTTGTTTGTTCTGATTCTTCTTTGAAATCTGAGTGGATTCTTGATTCTGGTTGTACATTGCATGCCACTCCTAACAAAGACTGTTTCTCCTCATTGACTCTGTATGATGGGGGGAAGGTTATGTTAGGAGATAATACTGCTTTAGATATTAAAGGCATAGGTAATGTTCCTTTGAGAATGTTTGATGGTGTTGTAAGAGTTGTGCAGAATGTTAGGTGGGTTCCTTTTTTGAGAAGAAATTTGCTCTCTGAGTCCATATTTGATGAGATGGGTTGTAGTATCATTACACAGGTTGGTGTTAAGATGATTTCCAGAAATGGGAACAATCTTATCAAAGCTAATGATGCCCCTGTCCCTAATGATGCTATTCAAAAACAAACTGAGATATGGCATAGGAGGCTGGGTCATATCAGTAATTTGGGTTTGAGTAAACTGTTTAAAAATGGATTGATTGATTTAAAACCTAGTCCAATTGAGTTTTGTGAAAACTGTATCTTTGGAAAGAAAACCAGACATTCCTTTGGTAAGTCTACTTATACTGCTTCTAAACCCCTGGAACTAATTCATGCTGATTTATGGGGACCTTCAAAAATTGGAACAATAGGAGGAAGGAAATATTTCCTTTCTCTTGTTGATCATTTTTCAAGAAAGGTTTGGGTATACTTACTGAAAACAAAGGATGAAACTTTTGAAAATTTTAAAAACTGGAAGATCTTGGTTGAATCTCAATCTAATTTTAAACTGAAGTCTTTGAAAACTGACAATGGACTTGAATTTTGCAATATTGTTTTCAATGATTTTTGCAAAATTAATGGGATTAAAAGGCTTTTAACTGTCCCTGGAACCCCTCAGCAGAATGGCACTGCTGAGAGAATGAACCGAACCCTACTAGAAAAGGCTAGGTGCATGTTATTTGATTCTGGTCTTAGAAACTCTATGTGGGGGGAGGTTGTAGTAACTGCTGCTTACTTGATTAATAGATCACCATCTTCTGTGGTAAATTTTAAGACTCCACAGGAGATGTGGTCTGGAACCAAGCCTAACATTACTCATCTGAGACCCTCTGGGTGCACTGCCTATGCACATGTGTCTCATGGCAAGCTGGAACCTAGGGCAATCAAATGTGTAATGATAGGTTATCCTGAGGGTGTTAAAGGTTATAAGCTTATAGTTATTCAACCAGGAGCTTATAAATGCATTGTGTCCAGAGATGTTGTGTTTAATGAAGTTGAATTCCATTATAAGAAAATTAACACTTCTTCAAGTGACCTCATAGGTGATTCTGATGGAAACTTTTTTGACCCACTGGAAAATGATGATATGTCTGATGAGGATTATGACAGTGGAATTCTCCACAATGTCAATGATGATCATTCATTATCTGAGAATGATATGAATGACTCATCTGGAGGTAATGTGCATCCTAATCATGATACAGATCAACAAGGTAGTAACTCTTCCTCACTTAATGGTTCTGAAAATTTGCATGATGATCTTGATCAAAGTGATATGCATATGCCTGGTTCCTTAGATGCTTCTTCTAATGAACATTCTAATGATTTTGTTGAA